GGCTCCGGGGGTGGGGGGGTGTTGGGGAGGTTGGGTAGCCTCTCTTGGTGGGATTGGCTTGGGTACTGGTGGGGTACCTTGGTGTCAGGCCAGTGTGTCTGATGAGAGTGGATGTTTGTATGTGTGTGTGGCGTGTCGGCGGGGCTCTGCTTGGATGGCGCATATGTATATGGATATGTATATTAGGGGTGTGGCGATGGCCTCGGCCCGCTTTTTTACACACATGACTGTGTCCCCACGCAGCCCAACAACAAGGTCATCAAGTTCACAGATGATACAACGGTGATCGGACTCATCTCGGGCAAGGAGAGTGAGCTGGCATACAGGGACGAGGTGGAGCAGCTGTCAGAGACAAGGTCGACAACCTGCTCCTCAACACCACAAAAACAAAGGAGCTGGTCATTGATTTCAGGAAAAATAAAATAGACATCCAGCCACTCATCATCGCCAGGGCATTTCTGGAGAGGGTATGGAATATTATGTAGCACTATATAACGTAGAATAGTATTATGATATTATTAATAAGCATGCCAAATACCCATGATGTAATCATTACAATGTAATCATTACAATGTAATCATTACAATGTAATCATTATAATGTAATCAACACAATGTAATCAACTGAGTATGTATTTGCACCTCATATTAGCAACTAGAGTTTTTGTTAGCTACTTTATCTTAGTCCAGAATCTATGATTATCCACCTTTATTAGTGTTATACCTTATCACTATGTCGATGGACAAATGTATTATCAACCCTCTAGCAGGGCCGTTTGAAGGAATTTGGGGGCCCCAAGCAAAATGGACATGGAGGCCCCCCGCACGCACGCACGCACGCAAAGGAACCACAGCATAGCCATACAGTTTAAATTCACTCACACTTTATATAAATAAAAAAGGTTTACAGTGAAAATACTGCTGTTGCATATACTGTGCATAAATAAAAAAATGTTTAGAGTGCAAATACTGCTGTTGCATATAAAGTGCATAAAATTTGAACATTTTCAACAATTGAACATTTGCAAAAAACACCACTGTACCATAAAATCAAATATACATTAAAAAAGTGCACAATAACTAAATCCAACATACTTAAAAACACACACACACATACATACTCACATTAACATTTTTCAGTTCTCTCAAACATGTGCAAATTATCTAAAACTGCTGTTTGCGAGCCTTGTTTTCTGCAAAGGCAATCACAATGTCCTCCATGTCCAAAGACTGGCGAACATCCCGCTCAATTGACATAAGTGCCAGTCCTGTGAGCCTTTCTTGGCCCATGGTGGACCTCATGTAATTTTTTATCAGCTTCAAAGCTGAAAAGCTCCTCTCACCAGAGGCCACTGACACAGGGAGAGTCAGGAGTAGACGCAAAGCGATGCTTAAATTACTGTACAAATCCAGTAGCTTCTCACTGTAAATGTAATTAAGCATGTCAAATGGGGAAGTGGCTATAATAATAACAATCATTAATAGAAGGTAAATTGACAGTTAATTAATCTTTAGTCTTTAGCTATGCATTTACTGAATGAGCACTGTGCAGATGTTCGTCCGACTGTACTGTATTTTATTTTATTTTTCTAAACTGTTTTAATTATTCTTATTTCTTTTTATTATTTTAATTTCTTCTATGTAAAGCACTTTGAATTGCCATTGTGTATGAAATGTGCTATATAAATAAACTTTTTACTGTTAACAAACAATGAAATTATAATTAAATGTTTACTAATTATTAGTAGTGCTGTGAGTCGACTACCAATGCTTAAAAACATCCCAAGCTAATGTTTGATGCACAGAATTTATTGTGTGGTTTTCCTAAATAGATTATCACAGTGGAATAGTTAGTATAGCATGCTATGCCACTTTCATCAAAACCTATTACAAAGCTATAGCAATGTCATGTCATTAAATATGATAAACAGCGATTCTGGAACAGATCTGCGTCTTCCTTACCCCGTTAAAAAACATATTACAGTATGTAACCATATTCCGTCCGTTCAAAAAAAAAGTTGCTCTAACTGTTCGTTACAAGCAGCATTTGCTGTCAGGCAGGTAGCTTAGCTAACATACATAAACATATTTCTGCTAGCCTACCTGCTGCAAAATTGCACCATTTGTACAAGACAAGTAGACGGCTGAGGGACCAAACAGTACAAGAAATGATGGAGAAACTTATCACCCAGGGGTGTGGATTAAGGGAGAAAACAATGATTGTGAATGGTTGAAGAGATGATGATGTTCAAGTGACGAGATATTGTTACATGATAAGAACTGGTATAAAAATTGGTGTAAAACAATATTGGACACACTTCTATGTGTCCAGCCTTGGTTGTAACTTCATTATTGCAATAAAGACTGCATTTGGATCTACACGAGTGGTTCCTGACTTCTGATTTGGCTGGGGAGGAAAACACCACAACAGTTTTAGATTATCCTGCCCCGGGCACTTTCATGCATTTTCGTATAGTACAAATTGCGAGCTTCCTGGCAGTATATCACATGTCCCGGGGCAGGATTTCTACGTGGCACTTCCATGTTTCAATGTAACAGATGCTTTGCAATATCCTTTTTCTTTTATTTATTTCGTGTATTAATTCGTGTAGTAATTGTCCCCTTCCTTGATTTCTTTGGGTCTCCTGTTCCTGTCCTTGGTGTTCCTGTTCATGTCTACGTTTGTTCAGTTGGTGTCCTGCTTGTTGCTGTCCTGCTTGTTCTTGGTGCCTGTACAGTTTCTGTTTGCTTGTTAATGTCTTTTGGCTTTTGTTTCCCCCAGGTGGTGCTGTGCTCTGAGTTCCATTGTGTCCCCTGTTTGGTCCCTTTGGTCCCTTTAGGGGGACTTGTAGTAAGTCAGTCATCAGCTCTGGCAACTACTACAACCTTTGAAGTGGGAGAAATTCATTTGTGTGGTTTACAGTAATTTTCAAAAAACATATTGAATTACTCTACACTTGTCATTGGACATTTCTGTGAAATTCCACCTGTAGTAAGTCAGTGATCACCTCTGCCAACTACTACAACCTTTGAAGTTGGAGAAATTCGTTTGTGTGGTCTACAGTAATTTTCCCAAAAAACTTATTGACTTATTGAACTCATGGTTGGATATTTCGTAGAAATTCCACTTGTAGTAAGTCATTCATCACCTCTGGCAATTACTACAACCGTTGTAGTCAGAGAAATTCATTTGTGTGGTTTTCAATAATTTTTCAAAAAAAAAAAAATTGTCACAAATTGGTTTACTATGTATGTGTAATTATTGTATCTCCTTTAGGATTTAATTTGCTATACTTTAAAAGGCAACTGAAATAGTTTGTTCTTCTTCCTAGTGTCTTTTTGGAAGAACTTAACAGATTTTTTTTGTTAGAAAATCTTGGCAGAAATGCTACAGTAGTAGTGCTTGGTTCCCCTGTTCCTACTGTATGCACTTTGTAGACGGTCCCTAGCAAAATGCTGCGCTTCCAATGCTGGTTTTTTAGTTTCGCGGAAAATGCCTCATCACTACAATAATGAATGAATTACATATCAGTCACTATACAATGTTGTAGTACAATCTGTATATTCTTCCGAAAAAGAAAATCTGACTTTTGTGATTTTTGGTGGTGTCGTTTCAAAGATATAGGGGAGGCAAATCCTAATATCGAATATAAAACCAACTTTACCACGCTTAGCGGAAGTTACATTTTTGGTAGGTGTAACATTTTCGGTAGTGACAAACAGCACGCGCGGCCTGTGTATGGCTGCAAATCGGGAAGCGCCGTAAATGTGGTGGTTATTTTTTGACATGTCATGAGAAATCAATTTGAATTTACCTTTTGTTCTTTTTTTGCTATCGGCAGTGTAGGAAAAACGATTTATTTCAAACGGGATTAAAAAAATCGGGAGTACGGGAAGGTACGTGCAATTCACATACCAAATTTAATCGACATCGAAAATTGTAACGCAAAAGCCATTTCCTAAAATGGAATGATCAAGTACAGCAGTCCGTACATTTACAAAACAGGCCAGCTATCTATAATGCAGTTAATACCCAAATTCAACAAGTTGGTACAAATATATTATTACTTACGTATTGTTTAACTTATTTAACCGCATTTAGCCACTCTACTTTAAGCTCGCAGCGTCACTTTCAACCTCCTGGAGGAGGGAGGATATTTCTCGCCTTCTGCAAAAGACAATCTGAAGTGAGGCAGCTGGGGTGTATTGGTTGTGGCCGTAGTCTGTTGTAGGTCTATATTGGCCACCGTGTTTGCCTTTCAAGGTGACACGAATCCTCCCATCTGCTCCATAGTAAACTACTGAAAGAACAAGCAATGAATAACACAAGTGAAATGATGATCTAATGTTTATTCATGATTAATGAATCGTCACCCATCTCAAGTAGAATTATATTTGTTCATAATTCGTATTTCATTAGTACCAGTTATTGCTAAATATTTATGCCCCGTCAAGTAAAGTGTTACCAGTTAGTTATTTCCGACTTCCACGTGCACATTTGTTCTACATTTGAATAGCTGGCCCATTTTTATATGTGAGGCTCTGAATATTGTTTTGATCCTGTCCTATAAATGTTTACTTTAAAGGGCTCCGGCATGGAGATCCCCGTGCTTGATTTCGAAGTCTATCGTCTCGGTGAAAATGTGACGGATGCGAAGCTGAAGGAGCTCAGCCGGGAGCTGCGGACAGCTTTCACTGAAATTGGGTTTGTGTACCTGAGGAACACTGGCATAGGCCAAGAAGAGGCACGTGATCGCTAAGCATGACGTCACTCACATTCGCATTTTTTTTTTAGCTGACGTTTTTACCTATGTGGCCATCAGGCTAGTGTCATGGGCTCGACGGTAAAATTACTCTGCAGACCACGGGCACAGCACCCCAAAGAAATGAGCTGGCCAGCCACAGACTTGTGACTTATTCCTTCGACTTCACAGCATATTTTTAATCACTTGACCACCCAGTTCTCAGGGTTGCCAACTGGTGTGACACTAACGCTTTCAGATTCTCATGCTCACGCAAGACATCTTACGTGAAATCTATATTATTCCATTATAAGCCAAAAATTAGCTGCATCAGAAGTGTTGGGGTAGTTTGCAAACCCTAAATCAGGGGTCTCCAACTCCGGTCCTGGAGAGCTACTATCCAGTAGGTTTTCTATCCTACTTGGCGTCTGATGAGCCACACCTGGCCCTGGGATTTACCTGAGAACAGGTGTGGCTCATCAGAAGCCAGGTAGGATTGAAAACTGACTGGTTAGTAGCTCTCCAGGACCGGAGTTGGAGACCCCTGCCCTAAAGACTATTTACAAGGTAATAAAACTCTTACATACATGTAAATGAGTGTGCAGACTTGTCTGGAATTGAAAATATCATGCTAGCCAGCTGGCCAAAGTTGGCAACTCTGAGTTCTGAGATTTTGCTCCACCCAGTCATGATTAATGCTCATATTATATATCACTGTCTAGGTCGATGCAGTTATAGAAATATCAAAAAAATTCTTTCTCCTTCCGGAAGAAGTTAAAATCCCTCTCAGCAGAATGAGCAACACTGACAACCACGGTTGGGTGGCCCCCGAGATTGAGAGGTATGTATTTGCATTTTTGCCTTCAAGTTGTTTAGTATTCTCATCAAAATATGTATTTTAAATTGTCCCCATTTTTTCCATTAACAGGTTAAATCCTAGTAGACCAGGAGACTTAAAGGAGGCTTTCAACATCACCTCTCTGCACACTGACGCTGTAAATACACCAGTTTAAAACAAACTTTAAAACAAGCCATAACATGTCAGGGAAGAGTCACATCTTTGACATAGTAACAGTCCAGTTCTGTTGGTCTTTAACCGCTCAGACACCATCTGATACTTTGTATTTATTCCTTTATTTTCTGTTTTCAGGATATTCTGTTTGTTCACTGTGTAGTTTTTACATTTGTTTGCATTATGTTAACTGGCCTGCATTGTGTGTACTGTCCTTGCACAGGATAAATACACCTATAATTATTAACATCTTAGATATTAGTCTTAACCACTGCTGTGCTCTGACAGTTTAACGTTGCTTTATGTTTGAGTATTATAGTGTAATTCTGTTATTTTCCAGGCCTGGCCTGCAGAGGACGTGGTACCAGGTTTCCGCAAGGCCTTTGAGTCATTCTTCATGCGGTGTAAAGATCTGTCCCTCCACGTGCTCAGAGTCATGGCCTTGAGTCTGGACATTGACGTGGACATCTTTGTCAACTCACACAAGAGCATAGGGAGTGAGTACAGGCTGCGATTGCTTAATAAACGCATACACAATGATCCTTTCTGGATAAGACTGGCCACCCCTATAATAGAGAAAATTATGGTGGTACTGTCTTATGGTGCTTTTCCACTGGTGTGTAGGAACTTGACAAATCTGCTTCTCTGCTGCATTTAACAGGATCATTCCTTCAGATAATTCATGCATATCGATGCAGGTCACCGGTATCTCTGTGCATTCAGATGGTGGTGATGCAGCCAAATCTGTTTTGTCACACTTTTCTCCCTGGTTATGAGCAGGGCCTTGTCAGTGCGGGTACGACTCAAATAATTTACAGTGGAAAACAGTCTCTTCACGGTATGGCTCGGCAGAGGAAAAGTGTCATTATGTACAATACAACATTTTTACCCACATTGCATCAGCTCCAGTGTAATGGGGACACGTCCATAGACACATGGATGGATGGATGGATGGATGGATATACTTTCCCCCCATGATTCGTCAGCTTATCATGGTAGAGGGGTTTATGTGCCTCCGTGATTCCAGGAGCTATGTTCTCTTTAGCACTTGTCCATGATAGGCTCTCCCATGGCAAATTGGTCCTAAGTGAGTGGAGAGGCAAAGTGCAATTCAAAAGACCCCCATTATGGAAAAGAACATGGATCATGTCAAAGGCAGGGGCCTTGGTGGACCCATCGCTGTCTATTAAAACTGGCTTTAAGACCATGGGATGTAACCTTTGGTGAGAACAGAGCCTGAGCTAATGCAGGAGGTAGAGAGATACTGACTAGATACGGGCACTCCTCACTTAACGACCTGTTTACCAACCGCCTGGACTCACGACCAGCTCTCTGGCTGTACAAGAACTTCGGTCGTGGAAACGGCAGCATTGCGTCAGCATCAAGCATCAGTCTCATTCCCGCAGTTTTTTTGGTACATCATTTTAATAATTTTTACTGGTTGTATATTTTTGTTCTGTAATATGAAAGAGATATGCTAATTAAAAGATAGTGATCATGTTGGAGTTTCCTTTAGACCTTTTCTTTACTCAGAATAAATAACAAAGATTACCTGTATTTACAGTATGAAAACCTAAGTAATGTATATTAGAGCTGATTTCCTCTATTCTTATACTTAAAATAAGAAGAGGAGGCTCCTCGTTTATCAACCAATTTGCTTAACTATCTAGTCATAGGAACGTAACTCGGTTGTTAAGTGAGGAGTGCTTATATAGTCTCACCACAACGCAGAGCAAGGGCTCTGGAACCAAATTCGTGGAGAAGAGCTGGACTCCACTCTGTTCTGGAGTTTCCCTGGGTGAGAGGCATATGGTAGGAGTCAGTCAACTTGTAGCCCTCTAGTTCGGTGCCAGTATGTTGGAGGTCAGCCTGATGAAGCGAGGCAACCCTATCGTTTAAATTCAAGTTGGAAGAGGTGCTCGCACTGTTGTCTGTGTTTATGTACTGAACGTCAATTCAGAGTGTTCAGCCTTTCTGGAGACCCTCTGGGGACTCCTTTCTACTGCTGGGGTACTTTAATGGTCACATGATTAACAACAGTGTGTGATTGGGTGGAGCGGCCTGCCCGATCTGAACACGAGCAGTGCCGTCTTTATTGCCACAGTTACTCCGTAACAAACGGCATCTTTGAGCACTAAGTTGCTCATAAGTGCACCAGAGCACCCTAGGTCATCGATCGATGATTGATTTTTGTAGTCGTCTTATCAGATCTGTGACCGTGTGTCTTGATCACTCGGGTGAAGATAGGAGCTGAACTATTGACTGATCACTACCTAGTGGTGAATTGGATCAGGTGGTGGGGAGGAAATGGCGTAAAGATCTGGTAAGCCCACACCTATAGAGAGGGGGTATTTGGCCAAGACCCCTGTCCGAGATATCAACTTGCACCTTCAGCAGAACTTCCATTCCATGGGCGACTGGTGCCACTGAGCCCAAATGGGCCATTTTCCAAGCCTCAATTGCTGAGGCAGCTGTGCAGAGCTGTGGCCGTAAGGTTGTTGGTGCATCTGCTGGCAGCAACCCCAGAACTCAGTGGTGGACACCAGCGGTAAAGGGAGGCATCAGGCTGAAGAAGGAGGCCTTCTCAGCTTGGTTACCTTATGGGACTCCGAAGGCAGCTGACAGGTACCAGCATAACAGGGGGTGGTGTCGGCATTACAGTACAAGCTAAAGTCTCAAACTAAGAGCTGCCCTTTGATAGGTATGAGGCAGGAAGTAGGCAATAGCCGGCCATTTAGCAACAGTATGGTTTATTGTGGGGTTTTTTTCTCTGACTACCTCACTACTCATTACAGGGGGTGGGTTTGATGTCACCCCCGTTACGCTGATAAGTTAAAATACCGTGTCCCGTTTTGAACCTAAACTAGATGCAACAAAAAGTTCCAGCACTAATTACTGGTGTCTGCAACTGTAAGCGGTTGCATTCTGTGTCTTTAACTGGATGGCAGTGGTTCAAATGGTGTAATTAAGTTTGTAGTATTTCCAGTTTTATTTGGCACAGGTTTTCGGCAGATATTACAATACACAGCATCAGTCTGTTTTGTGTCATAGGCTCCTTTAAATTGCCAAAGTACCCCACACCACCTCTTTGCCCCTGCTTTATCCACAATATTTCCTTTTTAAAAAGCTGTTGTGGCTGCTCCCCTTTCTTCACCGACACTGGTTTCCTCTGAGGGAGTGCTGTTCTCTCCCATGACTCGCATGTATTACCAGCACAGTAGTATGTCGGTTGTCCCGCTAAGTCAACAAACCTCACTGTGCATTTGTTGTGCATACATTGTCCATTATCAAAATACTGTGATTGGCAGCAGGCCAGGTTATTTTAGTCGGCGGTGACAAAACTCTGCTGTGTGCATTCTCCCTAACCTTTCTGAATTCTCTGTGGATTATTACTGTGTGGATTTCTGGTAGACTGAATTTTACTGTGGACTTTTGTTTTAGATTTTGCTGGATTTCCCTTATTGGATGGGTTGCTTTGGATGTATTTGCTCTTCCAGTGAGTTGCCCTGTGATATCTTTCACCTGCCTGCCTGCCGTGGTTTGTTCAATAAATCCTCCATTTGTGTTTGGATGACTGTGTCTGTGCTTGTGCTCCATTACCGGTCCTGACATGCAATCACAGAGGAAGTGATGTCATTAAATTGGATCTTAAATTTGATGAGCGTTTGTCACATTGACATTGAGGAAAATAATATTGCGATAATTATTGTTACTGAATTATCACCCAGCCTTACCCTTGGCAAACTTTATCATCATCCCCACCCCTCCCTGAAAACTTAATCTGCCCCTGGCAGGGGGCTGGAAGGGGACTGGTACTGTATAAAGTGTCGGTATCAGGATAAAAATATTTATTTAATTTTTTAATTGTACTGGGCTGAATAGAAAATCAGTGTCACCCACTTCAGCTGTTTAGTCAAAGGGCAGTTCTTACATAGGATATGTTTATTGGTGAAAGGGCAATTCGTATATAAGTTTTCAGTATAAGGGTGGGACTTACACCTGTTTTAAGGCAAATGCTTGATTAGCATAAATTACCACGACAATATACCTTGTTTAAAATCGAGCTACAATTTATATTATGCAAAACTCAGAAGTAAACTTCACCAAGTCAGTAAACCCACTTTATAATACATCCCTCAAATCTGCAAAGCCACACACTGCAGTAATAATAATAGTGATCACCAAATGTAAATATTTATGTAATTTACTGGATGCTGCAGATAAATTATTGATCTCGTTAGTCAATATGTACTTTTTTGCTCAAACACACACTTCTCATTTTCCGGATTTATCAGCATGAACTTTAGTCAGAGGTAAATCGTCAACAGTAGTGGAAATTATACGTCCAGGACCAGTGCTGATTTATATATTGTACAAAATTTGAATTCATGTCGTAACTAGACTGGACTCTGGTTTATCAAGATTCAGTTTGAAGGCCTGCTTGTTGTTAAGTCAACTTTTTATGAAAAGTGTTTTATGTCACTGGCGTTTAACTGGTCGGTGTGCTGTCCTGTAGGCAGTACGAATGGGAGTACCCTACGGATCCTGTACTACCCCCCGGTGAAACGTGCGATGGTGAAAGAGAGCCAGCTGCGGTGTGGGGAGCACTCTGACTACGGCAGCATCTCCCTGCTGTTCCAGGACAGCAAAGGAGGCCTGCAGGTAACCGTGCAGGACTGTGTAGGGGGAGCAATGGCCCAGTCCAGAAGGGGGCGCTCTTCTCTTTATGGCAGGGGGTTATCATAATCAGAATGATTAGCTATACAGTAGAGTCTTGCAACTCAAACGCCTCTTAACTCGACCAATTTGGACATCGAAATGGGCTGTCGAATTTTTTTCAACTCGGCCATTCCTGCTAAAACTTGTATGGGTCGAAATGCATTCAACTGGATACAAATACGGACCTTAAAAGGGTCAGTCGAAAAATCTAGCTGCAACTCTACTGAAAACTCAGAACAGGGCAAAAGAAAACAGACTGTACTAAAACTTGTACAGATCGAAACGCGTCTCTGATGGGCTGAAACAAAGGCAAACGGACCTACTGAGATGCTGATGCCTGTGAATCGCTCTCAGTCTCGTGGTACCTCTCTACCAAGTTCTACGTGTGAAAGCTGTGTTCCTGTGTTCGCTGTGAATTTTTTGCACTTTATCTACAGTACATTTAGTGATACAGTAATCATTGCCCCCTAAGGAGTGAGCAGTGATAGCAGCAAACCAAAGAGGAAAGTGGTGAAAGCAACTAGAACTTATAAAGGAAATTATAGCAAAATTTGAAGGTGCTGCATGTGTCTGCTCTGGCTTCGGAGTGTGGGATTGTCATTTATTTCATGTTTATTGCTTTTGTATGTGTGCTTTTTCATGCATGTATTAGCTGTATATTGATTGTTAATGCTTTTCATCATTAGTTAGGTAGGAAGATAAGATTGAATAGGGGATCATTTTGGGGGTCTGGGACGGATTAAATTCATTTACATTATTACAAGGGGAAATTTGAGATGGAGCTTGACCAAATTGCAACTCGACCAGCCTTCTGGAATGAATTAAGTTCATGTTCCAAGGTACCACTGTAATAAGAATCAGAATTCATTTTATTGGCCGGGTACAGCTGCATGCACTAGGAATTTCTTTTGGCAGTATTGGCGCATACATTTACAGACAACATAGAATTACGAAAAATAGAATGAGTAGAAATAAAATGATAGAATAAAAAGGTGCACACAGTGCAAAGCTGTAGAGTATACTATCAATAAATATAAACTTAAAGGGAAAGGGGATATATTTTATGTTTTAATATTACGTATTCAGCATGGAATATCCAGTATATGATGACAAGTTGAATTGACACATGAAACAGATGTGCAACGTTACATGCAGAGTTAGTGGAAGAGTGTAAAAAGTGGGAGTGTGTAAGCAGGGTCAGGGGGCTTGTCGATGAGGTCAAGACATGCGGAGTGACTGGACCCTCCTGCTCTCGTGTATTAGGTGAAGAGCAGGTCTGGGGAGTTTATAGATGCACCTGCCATTCCTGGCACAGTTCTGATCAACATCGCAGACTTGATGCAGAGATGGACAAGCGACGTTTTCATATCAGCGGTGAGACTGACACACGCACAGACACCTGTCGTTTCACCATATTTGTAAATACTGCATTTGATGAACCCCAAGGTGGTATTTCAGAAACATCTGATGAATACACACATTTTCCTTTTTTCTCATATGAAAAATATCAGATTTGGAACTTGAAGACTCAGGGGTGCATGTTTGTCTTTTTGTAGAAGCACAGGGTTTTGCTGCCCCCTCCTGGTGATTCAAGTACAAGACAGTCTCTGGTTTTCTTCGCACAGCCGGATGATGACATCATTGTAATTTGCTGTGATGGATCAAACAAACATCCTCCAGTAAAGACAGGGGACTACCTTTTGGAGCGCTTTAACGAAACGTATGGACAAATGCACTCTGAAATCTTATTTTTTCCTATTAGTGCTTTGATTTTTTTGTTTTCCTGTAAGAAATGACTTTTGACTTAAAAAAAAAATGCACACGCATGCATAATGTATTTACATAGCAACCTGTCTATTTCCTAAGACACATTGTGCTGCTCTACAGGGTGCAAATGTATTGTCACCTTTTATTATTTACAACATAATAGATTTTTGCTAGTTTAATCTTTAAAGCTTCGGAGACGCAAGTTTTAGTAACAGCTGTACTAATTAAAGGTCTTCCAACAACAGGATTTGACAGCTATTGCTCTTCTCACTGTTACTGCAGGTACCGGATGCAGGGACATGATGAAGAGAGTAACCAGGCGTTGGAGGAAGCAGGAACCAGGTACGAGGGGATGCAGCAATGTTTTGAAAGCATTCAAGTATTGATCAGAATGACTTGGCAAGCAGGTCTTTTTCATTTTGGTAAAGTCCTCATTTATGACCCCTTTTTTTCTATAGTAACAAGAAGAGAAAATTGGACAGTGGAAATAAACAAGAGCAAAAGTCAGACAAGAAACTGAAGAAGGGCAAAGATAAAAAGGGGAAATTCTCCAAGTAACCTTTCAGTGATTCCATGTGCACATGCTATAGACTAGGGAAGTAAATGGTTGATCTCAGGGTGATTTAATTTGATGCATCAGAAACCTTCTATTTCTAACACAGTTTGATCTGATTAATCGAATATTCAATTATTTTGATGACCGAAATTTAAACTTTAAGTCTACAGAACAAAATTCACATAGTCCTATATAAAGTTCCATGGGAACTTAATTACACACTATTAATGGAATACAAAGATAGTAAAATCTCAGAACATCAATTAGGGGTCCAGGTGCCAACAGTGGATCCTTGTTGTTTTTTTAATTTATTATGAAATTGAGAGAACACAACAGTGTAAAATTGTCCAAAGGCCAACTAATGAACTGTACACTGTGTACAGTAAAAAAAATCAAATACATTAAACCAAGGGGGGGGGGTGTCAGTGAAACTTCAAAGTGTAGATTAGTAAAGTGACATCACATGGTTTTGTATTCAATGGAAAACAAGATTGATCTGCGGGTCAGATTTAATCACTAATTATAGACATGTTGGGAGTTTGTACTTTGAGACCAAAGTGTTGGATGAGCTGAGATAATTGCTCGTCCTCCGTGAGGGAAAATGAGTTATCATCCAGTGTGATCATCTCCATTATTTTAGTAGTTATTAGCTCTGGTACTGCTAACTATCCGTATTAATAAAGTTTAAATATTGCCTGGCAATGTCAGCCAAGACTGACACATCGGACTGGTACTGATATGTGAAGATATCTCTAAAGATAACGTTATTTTTCACTTAGCTAGCTAAGTAAGCTAGTGTTGCTACCTCAGGGTCTTGATTATTGGTATAGTCCATCCATCCATCCATCCATCATCTTCCGCTTGTCCGGGGTT